TAAAGTAAAACTAGATTTCTCCTCTTTCGCCTGACTTGGTAAAACCCTTCACCGCCAATATCATGAAGTGCCCCTTACAGGAATGACTCTCCATCACAATGTCAAAGGATCGCTTTTTGAGGTAAGTCAATGTTCTATCCAATTTATTAGATAGAAGATACTTCCACCCCCTTCCCCCCCCCCCCTTTTCATATCTACATATAGCCCTTGGACACCACCAAAATACCAGATGAACACCACCTTACTAAATCATACTCTTATAAGTATTTGTTTTCAGTGGAGAGTTTATAATTTGAATGTTTGAGAATCTTTGGGAAAGAAATTCCTTTCCAATTTTCTCGAAGGCCCTCTTACCATTTTTATTGAGTGATTTTAGTCCCTAGACGACATACTTTAACGACGACCCAAGCGATACTCATCCTTCCAGAGGAAGAATCGTGAGATGAAGTTCTGAAACAAGAAGTTTTCGGTCCTGAACCAAATATCCTTAACCTCTAATCAGTTGTAGAATAGGAATCAGATATCAATTCATTTGTGGAAGATGAGATGCAAACAATGCCATAAGCTAAGCAATGATGGGGTTTTGATTGAACAAGGACAAGTCTAACAACCTAACAATGCAATAGAAAGAAAACAGAAACTAAATGCAAGTGAATAGAACTAAGCAATGAACTTAAGGCAATGACTAAGCAAGAATGATAACTAAAGCATGAACTAAGCAAGATGATCTTAAAGACAATTAATTAAAAAAAAGACTCAAGGTTCTAAGCAATTGTGGGATACTGGTTTTCAAGCATGAAAATGAGGAATTCTAACAAAGGCAAGCATCAAGCATTCATAAGCAAGCATTTCTCAATGTTGTACTCATAGATAAGATATCTAAAAGGAACCAACTTGGCGTCAATAAGCAGTTCATATTCAACAAGATTGAAGTGTCAAACCCACTTGTGATGGCGTATTCTTCAACCGTGAGCATAAAGTTCAGAACCATTATAGCCTAAGAGATGTACTAATCAAGCAATCATTCTCTCACCCAAGCAAGAATTCAGACCAACTTATCAATCTTGTGAACCAATAAGGACCTAGTTAGCTAAACACCAATCAAGAATATGGACTTAAACACACAGCTGCAACATCCTAATAATGCTAAGCAATGAGCAGGAATGAAACAAAGACAATATTTCTCAATGCATACTATCTAACCATCAAGCAAGAATCTCAAAACCAGCATTATCTAGCCCTAAGCGAATCATCTAGCAATGGTGAACTATCACTTTGGTGTCACTGAACAAAGGAAACATAGACCAAGCAAAACTATCAAGCCAAATAAGCGAACCATGCTTAGAGATGAGATAACAAGCCATTTAGTGAACCATATGCATCAATCAATACCATATTCAATCAAAAGGAGCAAGCTTTATGAACAATAATCACTTTGCAAGAGAAGGAGACAACAAAGGACAGTTAAATAAGCCTAATCACCCCTTAATCATATCTTAATCACCACTTTCCTTACTTAGAACCCTAAATCTAAGGTAGACTACTCACTAATATAATCCTATTTGTTTAGAGTTAAACATGAATAGATGAGATTAAAATGCAAAGATGATAAATCTAAACTACCAAGGTGCTAGAACAATGATCAAGAGACAAGATTAAACCATAAAAATACAAACTTTATTAAAACTAAAGATTCTAAGTCAAATCGCCCTTTAAGGTTTAGAGAAGAGAGAGTTTTTGATGAAAGACTAAACTTGGATAAAGATAATTGTGGCTTCCCTTTTATAGTAGGGAACCAAAATAAATATAAAAAACCTAAAAATAAGATAAGGTCAACAAAAGTCAAATGGTCAATGCGCGGATGAGTTACAACAAGGTGGTACGGATGATGTTCTGCTCGATATAACACCTCGATATGGCTCGTGCAGCACGCATCGGCTTCCTTTCTCGATGCAGACCAACGGCTTAGACTCCTCGTGCTGATCATATTCCTCACGTCCTGCTGCTTACATCGAGCATACTCCACGGGTGTTCTGCTCGATATGCGACCTCGATATGACTAAGACTTTGCAAAAGCTCCATTTCTGACATCTTCTTCGATCATGGGCTACTTCCATCTCCTTCCCAACTCAAAGAATCTCCAAAAACACCTGAAAACTATCACAAACATGTATATGTATGCAAATGTATGCAATCCTAAGCTAAATGCATGTCATGTTGATTCTAAGTGCAAATGATACTAAAATGCTAAACTATAATGCAAAAACAGAGGAAAAAATGTATGAAATACAGCTTAAAATACTATAAAATAGCAAGCTATCAAGTTCTCCAAACTTGACGAACACCCTCCCCCCATCCTCCCCCCATAAGTATCCCATAAAATGCTTTCAAACAAAATATATATATATATATATATATATATACTATAATTTCGATCTATAAAATTACAAAATACATTAGTTTTTCATGTATTATGTTAATTTTTTAAATGTAGCAATCTAAATTACTAAATATTTTTTGTTATCTAATTTACTAAATATTGTTTTTATCATTATATGAGCGTCTAATCTAATATTTGTTTTTGTTAATGCTTAATCTATTATCTAAAAACTCTATATTATTATTTAGTACATAATGCATTGTTCTATTAATTTACTAGAATGACAAATTAATATTTTTTAAAGGTGCATTAATAAAATTATAAAGGACTAAATTTTATCCAAATTTTTGAGCAATGTTCTTTTTTTTTCTTCAAACATCTTATTTATTTATATAAATAAAAGTTGTTTATTGTCATTTACCTTATTAATTTCTTCTTCTTTGTATTTGGTTTTAGATTTGTTTCCTAATTAATATTATCCTAATTATTTATTCAAATTTTTTAAAAAAAATATTAACATTGTGTGATATTATTTTAATTAAATATTTAATAGATATGTTGACATTATAATCATGTAGTTTGATAAAATATTAACGAATTATAAATAATTATTAACTTACTTTGTAATTTATTTATATTTGATTTATGACATTTATTAGTGTATTTTTAAATTTAACTATTTAAATAATATTCAATTGCATATAATAACACGATGTTAATATTAATTTAATATATGATATACACATAGATAAGATAATATGAATAATGAATTTTAAATAATTATGTAATTTAGTAATATATTAATATATTATATATAATTAGATAATTTGGTAATTTTTTAATGAATTATTAATAAGTATTGACTTAATTATTTGGTAACATATTTATATTTGAATATATGAATTTGATTAATAGTATACTTTTAAAATTGATCATATAAATGATACACATGTGCAGATATAACAACATATTATTAAAAATGATTGTATAAATGATACACATGTAACTAATATAAATAATATATTACTATTTAATTTGGTAATATATTAAATAATTTTAAATATTATTGACTTAATTTTTTTAGTAATCTACTTAAATTTGGATATATGACTTTTATTAGTATAATAATTTTAGAATTGACTACATAAATAATACACATATATAATTTATAATATAATCATGAAATTGACTCCTCAAATGATATACATTGGATACTATGAATAATAATTTATAAATACTTATGTAATTGGGTAATATAATAATTAATTGTAAATCATAAATGGTTATTGTTTTTTGGTAATTTATTTATATTGATATGTGACTTTCATCTATACTATGCTTTTAAAATCGAGTATATGCAAATAATAATATGTTATTAAAATTAAATATATATAAATGATACATATACGTAAATATAAATTTTATGGTAATATCTACACTAAAAATAGTGAAATCCATTTAATGATATACTAACTAAATTATCATATGTAAAATAATTTCTTTTAGTTATCAATATATATTTAAATTATTCTGTGAGATGTAGATAAAAAATTACTTTAATATAAATGATATATATATAAATAATATGAAACAATAATATTCAAAACATGTGAAATATAAAAATATTGTTATATAAATGGTATATTTATGAATAATATTAAATTTATGTTAATTTTCACAAATAAATTTTTAGAGATACATAAATTAATCTTTAATATTCAAAGTATTCAGATTGTTTTAGTTATTAGTTTTTTATAATAAATATATGTTAAGTCCCTTTTTACGTGTATTAAATACAAAAAAATACTTCTACTAAATTATATATGAATAAAACTGTAAAATATATGAAGTTTTATAGTAATATTTCAACATATACTAATTAAATGATAATAGTAAAATAAATCATAAAATCAATGTTATTTAGTTCATAGATATTACATTTGTCAATATATTATGTAACACGTAAATATACAAAAAATAGTTTAATTAAATATATATATGTTTTATATTGAATAAAAAGAAATCTATGATCTACTATATGTGGTAAAGTATATTTAGAGATAAACTGATTAATTTTTAATACTAAAATACACAAAACATTTTTTTAAATTATTGGACATTAAAAATGTTAAATTCATTTTCATACGTCATTATAAAAATATTGTTTATAACATAAATTTATTATATATAGAATATATTTAAAAATATACTAATTAAATATTAATAATAAAAAGTGAATTATTTTTTAATTATTATAATTGTTAATTTATAATACATGTTACAGCAATACAAAAATAAATTTATTTAAATAATTAATACAAAATTTTATGGTAATAGGTTCAATAAAACTTATATAAAAATACACTAATTAAATTGTAAAAATCAAAAACTCGCGAAATAGTTATATATTAACTACTTTTTCGCGCGAAATATGAAAATAATTTTATAGTCTTAAATTGGCTTTAAATTGGTTATAGAGTACTATATAAATTCATTAGATTGAAGAACAAAAATCAAAACTTGATTACTGGCTTCTCACAAATTATCTCATTTAAAGAGAGAGAACCTAGTATTATTATAAATATAAATAATAAAATTGAGTTGTTTCTCTCTAGGAGAAGAAAAAGAGAGAAAGAGGCTGCTGTTTGTTCATGCGTTTCGTTCTTCCAAGTATTCCCAAAAAAAAACACAGAGCAACAAAATATTTCGCCTCCTTCTCTTCTTCTTCTACTACTCTTCTCTTCCCATCGCAAAAACCCTAATTTCCATTCGATTTTCCTCTATAAAAAACCCTATTCGTATCCCCCACTCGCTTCTCCTTCCATCGGTCCCCGTTTCCTCTCTCGGTTTGGGTTTTTTTTGTAACTTTTGCCTTTCTTTTTGTTATTTTCTCCCTCCTTGGGGAGGAAGCCATTGTTTCGGTTGAGCGATTGCATCTAAAAATCTCCTGCGTCTTGCGTTTAGACGAACAATCTCCGTCTGGGTTTGGTTTCGGTGTGTTCTTCCCCTCTTTCGTTCGCGCCCCACCGTTTCAATTTTCTTATCCCGGGAAAATCTTCTTGTGATGCGTTGAACGAATTTCGCCGTTGTGTTGATTCTAGGGCGGGCTGATTGATATCGGGAGTGATAGTCATATATAGAGAGATTATTGCGTAGGTGTTAGGGTTTTCTGGTTTGGTGGCATCACTGTAATTCAGGTTAGTCCTCTAATTGGTGGGTTTATTGATAGCGATGATGATCTTCGAGCGTCGTTAGAACCATCTGTGGGAGAGAGGGATGTGTAGAGGGTTTTCTCATTACTGATTTCGTGCAGCGTTGAGATTTTTGTGAGAAATTTCGGATTGGAGATTAAGCAGACGAAGGATTGTGATTTCTCCCCTGCCCTTTGTGGCTTTAGGTGATTAGAGGTCAGAGACATTCAGCATTTTGTGTAGGACGAAGAGGCTTGAGGGTGGTGAAAGTGGCCAGAGAATTTGCAATTTCGTTGCTTTATTCTGATGAAGTATAGCTTTACTGATGGAGAAACGTGAACCCTCTTTAGTCCCTGAATGGTTGAGAAGTACAGGTAATGGTTCTGGTGTTGGGAGTAAAAATCAAATTCTGTCATCTGCTTCTCGTTCAGGTAATGCTCGAGTTCATAATGATATGTTTGTTGAATATCATTAGTTTTAAACAATTGGTTGATCAATCGGAATAGCATTGTGACTCCATTTCCTTTTCGTTTTGGTTTAGATTCGTCTTTGTCACATAATAGCAAGAGTAGGAATTCTAGGAGCAAAAGCGATGTTGATTCAGTTCGGTCTCCTTTTCTCGATCGGTCTTCTTCCACCAATGCAAGAAGGGGCTTTAGTAATGGGTATACAAAAAATGCATATAGTAGTTTCAACGTCAGTAGGAGCAACAGAGATAAAGACAGGAACAGGGAGAAAGATAGGTTGAGCTACATGGATCCATGGGATCACGACACTGCTACTCCTTTCGAAACCTTCTCTATTGGCAGGGATCAGGAGAAACTGAGACGATCACATTCAATGATTACAAGGAAACAGGGCGACCACCTCGCTCAACCATATGCAGCGGGATTGAATAACGGTGGAAGCATGAATTTTTTCAACGGAGGTGGTATCCTTCCTTTTACCAGCCCTGCAAAGAGCTCCAAAAGAACCGGATTCGATAAGGATTTTCCTTCTCTTAGAGCCGAAGAGACGAATGGAGGCCCAGACGTTGTGAGAGTCTCATCTCCTGGTCTAACTCCTGCGGTTCAGAGCTTGTCTGTTGGTAACTCAGGCTTGATTGCTGGGGAAGGGTGGACATCGGCTCTTGCAGAGGTTCCCAATGTTATTGAGAAGAGTGGTTCTGTGTCCCATGCTAATGTTGGTGCTTCGGTTACCTTAACGGGACCGACTTGTCGTAACATGGCTGAAGCGTTGGTGCAGGCTCCATCAAGAACTGGTACACCACCACAGGTATGATTTGCGTCTCTCTGTGTTGCTTTTTAGTACAGTAAACGTTGCCGTGTGTCTAAGATGTTCTCTTCTATTAGGCATCTTCAAAGATTCAAAGACTTGAGGACAGAGCGAGGCAGTTAATACCGGTTGTGCCTTCAGCACCAAAGGGATCAGTAAGTCTTTTTGTTTCCCTAGCTACATCTTATTGTCCTCATGTTACCTTGGGCTATACTCACTGTCTATTGGTTGATTTCTCAGGTTCTTAACTCTTCTGATAAATCCAAGGGCAAACCAATGGTTCGAAGTGGTGAAATCGGTCTTGCTTCTTCAAGATATACCCACCAACAGTCCTCTATGCTGCTCGGTAATCTTCACTCTAATCCTGGTAATCAGATGAAGCCTGATACTACTAAGAAGCTGGTGATTCTCAAACCAGCTAGGGAAAATGGTGTATCTGCGGTTAAAGAATCTGGAAGTCCAAGTCGTATAATCGACGGCCGAGCTGGTGCTCCTTCCACACAGTCGACTGCTTCCGTCGTGCTAGATGGAAAAAACGCTGAAAAGAAACTTTCCTTGGCTCAGGCTCAGAGCAGGAACGCGTTTTACAGTGCTCTGAAGAAGAAAACATCGACAAACATTTCATCTGATCCATCGAAAACTAGCTCCTGCATCTCGAAGGAGCTTGTAGCTAGTGACTCTTCAAGTGTGCAGGCTGCAGAAAGAGATGACATCGTCATGGAGAGGGTCGAGAAAGTTTCTGAAGTTGCAGAGAGGAATAGTTGTTTCGAATCCGCAGACCGTCCAGACGAAAAAGAGGCTGAGTTCCTTAAGTCCCTTGGGTGGGACGAAAACGATACCGAGGAGGACGAAGCACTCACAGAGGAGGAGATCAGAGCCTTCATTGAACAGGTATAGGACACAACATCACGCTTACCTCGATTGCTTTAGTTTCTCTTATCATTTTTAACTTACCATCTTTGAAAACAGTGCAAGAAGCTCAAGCCATCATTGGTGCAGAAGCTGCCTATCATAGAAGAGGCAACAGAGGACGTAACTCCCAACTCTTGATCCGATTTTGAAGATAGTTTCTCATTCTCTTTACTTCTTTTCCCTTGGGGGGTTTTATTTTGGTTAATTCGGCGGCGTGGACAAGAATGTGGGGGAGGCTTCAGTTGCAGTATGAGTGTTATTTGTACTTCTTCAGAGGTGCAACAAAATGACTATGTATACATCTTTGTTCTGAAGAACGTAAGAGAGGTTTTGTTTTACCACCTTCTTTAGGTTTCTAATGTTAGATGATAATGATGATGAGGGAAAGAGAAATTTGTTTGGGGTAAAAAGAAAATATTAAAAGGCTTTCTTTATACTTTAAAAGAAATTTAACGTTTGCTCTTTTTCCTTAATTGGGTTTATGTATTTTAATTTGTTCTATTTTTTCTTCCACCTCAACAGTCTTGTAATGGTTAATTTACCTTGTTTATGCATTCGTATGGAAATGCACTAGTCTTGTTCAGTTCCAGCTTGGTAATTGAGTTCTGTTTATGCATTCGTATGGAAATGCACTTGTCTTGTTCATTTCCAGCTTGGTAATTGAGTTTGAACGGAACTATAAAACAAAATAAATGTTTTTTTTTGGTAAATAAACAAAATAAATGTTTTCGCTAAAGATTGAATTCTCATGTAAATTATATGTAATAAAATACTAAAATATCTTAAGTTTGGGTTGCGTCTGTCTGCTATATCAATCTTCAAGTTTACACTTTTTATTGTAACATTGAGTTTTATCAATCTAAAAAGAGAGATTCTTTATCAATCTAAAAAGGGAGATTCAAAACAATAGGAATACAGTAAAGTTTTTAATTCAAGCAGAAACAAAGAAGATTTAAATGTCTAACAACCTAAAAGATCAAAGCAAACTTGAAGCAAACACTTAACAAGAGCAAGAAAAAAGCAAAAGATCAAAACTAGACAAGACAATAGCAAATACTAAGGCAAATTTGAAATTGACAAATAACAAAGAAAATACAGGACTCAAGATGGGATAATTGATACTAGAGAACTCTCTACCAAATTTATTTTTTTACAAAATAAAAAAATATAGTTATTATTAGAAAATTGATAAGTTGTCATCATGTACATTAAATATGCTTATGCAAATGTCAAAGTGTGTGTCATTAATCTAATATCTCTTATGTCCACATATTTAAACTATCAAGAAACATGTATTGTATAGGATGTTATATAAGTTTAAAAGAATAAGAAGTCGAAACAAAATATCTTGCACTCTTTCTCTATTTCTACATTTCTCACTCTAAAGTTTATTCAGAAACACATATGTATCTATAATATATATATATATATACATATTTTTCATCATAATATAGTTCTTACAATATGTTATTAGCACAATTATTCTTATACTGTAGAATGTGAAATTTATTTGTGTTCAATTTATTTTAATATTTATGAAAAGAGAGGTTTTGTCTTCTTCATTTATATATTAGTTTGAAGTGATAGATGATGTCTCCTCCAACTAATCGTTATGATAGGTTATACCTCCAAAAAAACAAAATTTCTCTGAAAATCAAAATACTCTAAAAGGATGAGTGCTCTAGAAGAGCATATCATGGAGACATGCAAAAAAATAACAAAATTATAGTATGGCTGGTTTAAGCCATATCAATCTAATAATGATATTATATATTATTGAAATTTTTTTGTAGAAACTCCAGAAGTTTTTTACACATAGCATATCTTTAAAAAGATGAAAATGATGTCATCATGAGAGATCAATCACCACTTTTGGTTGAACGAGTTGATTATGTACGATGATTTGGTTTTTTTAAGCAAGCCCTAAATCATCATAAATCGAAAGAATTTGATGCATAATCAATGATCTCAAAATGGGTGATTAAATATGTTATTTGTCATAAAGTGAGGATTTAGTGAGAGATGGATGGATAAAAAATTAATGTTATTATTTTGAGGAAGAGAATTAAAAAAATCTCAATAAATGGAACTTCTAGAAGATTATGTTCACAAAATGACTTAAATCAAGTGCGAGACATATTCTGAAATCAGTAAAGCTTATATTACAACTCAAAACGCTCCAATAAAAACATGTGTCCATGAAAGACGATAGTGATGAGTCTATGACACGTTAGAACGTGATAAGCTATTTTGGTTCCAAAGATTATAAAATCCTCGAAAAAAATGACTCTATATACATTTGTTGAAAGGAAGATGAATCCCCAGAAGAGATTATTGACATGGTTGATCATATAATCATGTACCTGAATGAAATCAATAATAATGACAAAAAAGTTCGATTGACCATGTCATTATTGATAGTAGAATAGTTGCTACTAAGCAATTACTCAAGCATGCTTATGTCATTGTAGTAATCGAAGATCAATCTAATCGGGAATTGTTGTGACACCAAGATTGCAAGATGATTTATAATCCAAATAACATCAAAGAAGTTGTGTCTCTATCAACCTAAGTGAACAAGGAATCAAGACTAGTAATAAGCAAAATTAAACTCTTAAAGCAATAACAATAAACAAGCAAGAACAAAGAAAATTCTAAAGCAAGATGATTAAATAGAGATAAATGGGTCTAAAGATGGAGTTATTGAGTTTGGGTGATCATAGGGACAATCTAAGATGTTCAAACAATCATGATAATGCTAATCCTTAGGCATAAGACTCTTAAACAAGACTAATACATTCTCATGGCACTAATAACTTTGCTAAATACCTAATCAAGAGTTAATCATCATTAGTGAATAGGTAAACAACAAACATGAAATCTCAGTTCTATAAAGCCAGTAAACACCCTAAACAATCATTATCATGAGTTAGAAATGTAAATCTCTTGACTTAGTTTGTTGGGACGTTTCATCAAATGCCTTGTGGGTGGAAAATGCCCTAAAGACTAAATCAATATGATCAAGGAAAATCTAGCATTAAAAACACTAAGCAAGAAAGGAACTACTGGTTTTAAGTCCTAAACATCAAAGATCTACCATAATCTCATCCTAATCTAATTCACCCTCAAACCACAAAAGGACTACCTAATCATTGTAAAACCCACAGATCTAATGGTAAAAATATGGATAAACATGATTAGAGAGAAGAAATAACAGAGATTATAAAAAAAAAACCCTTAATTTTGCATAAACCCTCAAAGATCTCTTACAAAAGTATGATTTTTCACAAAAGAGGAAAGTTGCTTAAGGAAGAACAAGATTAAAAGATAAAATACAATAAAAATTAGGTTTAAAGTATTTATAGTGAACAGAGTAAATCCGGGTCAACTCTAGATCAAATGGCGGATTTGAGGCTGTATTGGTTTGTTGCTTGTGTCCCACATCAATATGCCAAGTCGATATGGTCTCCTGGTCTCCCGATATCGATATGTGACATCGGTATAACCTCTTCGATATGGTCCATCAGATTGTCCTGTCTCGGATGTGGCTTGCACTCCTCAATACAACACATCAATACACCTCCTTGCCAAGTCTGTACCGATGTGTGACATCGATATGCACACATCGGTATGGATCCAATCACACATCGATATGTCGTCCCCGATATGATGTCAGACAATGTCTACATCCCTATTTTTCTTTCCTCCTTGGTCCTAGCTCACCCTCCAAGCTTTAGCAAGTCTTCACTCCAATAACCTGAAATAGCACTTCAAATGCAAGGATATACAATAAAATGCAAGACCTAAAGCTAAGAATCACTAAATCTAAAATGGTTGCAAAGTAGACTAGAAAGCAAGTTATATGCATGAAACAATGCAAATGATGCTCTACATAAAAGCTAAAATAGTGTAAATATGCTAACTATCAACTCCCCCACACTTGTCTTTTGCTTGCCCTCAAGCAAATATACAAGAACAAGTACGGAAAAAGGTTTAAAAGTGGGAGAAAGATTCCAATAAATGAAATCAAACCAATGTCCAAGTTGCTAATTCTACAATGCATTTGATTTTGTCTTACTAATTCTAAAATTTATTGGATCTTGTCTTGCTAATTATAAAAGAATTGATCTCAAGCCTAGCCTACACAAGCATTCAAATCATTCAACCCTTTTAACATTCAATTAAATGCAACCAACTGGTTCATGTTAATGCAAAAAAAAATGTACTCATTTTGCTAAGCATAAGGTTATAAGATGAAAATAATCTCATTCATGTGAAGTGGTTTCAAAATCAAGGGATCTCTCAAGAAGGAATGAGCTTTGGTAAATGCTAATGGTAAAGAACAACTTACGCATACAAAAGTAAACTTCTATCTACCTAAATCCCATATCCCAACTCCTAAGTCTAAGCCCACAAAGTCACGCCTATTCTACCCTTTTTTTAAGCACTCGCATCCTTGAATCACATAACTTCAACCACTCTTCTTCTTCTCTTTAAGCTCTTGAGGAGACATCTTCTTCTTCTTGGTGGTTTGGCCTTTTTACTTCATTGCATTGGCTCTTCTTTTTCTTTGCCTTTTATTTTCATCCTTTGGATGCTTGTTGCACTTTTGCTTGATTTCTCGTTGTCTTTGTGAATTTTCCTTTTGTTGCCAACCATTCCAAGTTATTGTTGCCCCTTTCCTGCTTATTCCCTTTCTTCTTTCTCTTCTTTTTAAAACCCTAACAAAAAAACCCTCCCTTAATAAACCAACAATACTAACCTATCTAGCTCAAAGGTGGTGAGCTAGTTCTACATGGAAGAGTTTCCTTGTAGTTCTAAATCCAACACTTTTTACTAAGCTCATTCAAAAACATGGCTACACAGCACTCACTAGAGATTTATTAGCTTGAAAGAATGATTGGTTAAAGAATGTACTTGGACTAGCAAGAGTGGTAAAAAGAATAAGAGAGTCCAAGTATGTGTATGGTATCCATGAGAATATTTTTTAAAGCATTAACATGATAAATTCAAGTCAAGTTATGGTTCAAGTTGACAAGGATGAATTCAAATCATGCAAGCTTCAACTAAACAAAAGTATCAATATAAGCACTCCAAGTGTGGTTCAACCTTTATTCAAATTAATCAAATGCATCAAACAACTTAGAATTTGGGCATCGGTTTTCATTTCATGAATCAATATCTTGCAAGGAAAAATTCTATCATTGCTTCCAATGCAAGTGTAATGCAAGCCTATATTAGATGCATCTAGACTCAATCCTAACATGTAAATATAACTAAATGTTCATTATTTTTATGGATTTTCGAAAAACTTCAAAATTTTCAACTGTTTTGGTTTTTTTTCTATGCCTTAAATGTATGATTGAATGCTTGAAGAATCAAATATGCAAAAGAGAAAATAGGATCACAAAACACAAAGTCAAATCTCTCACACTCTCTCCCAAACTTAGATTACACAGTCCTTTGTGTAATAATAGTCCAAAAGAGACCAAATCAATATGACAAAAACAAGAAAAAACTAAAAAATACATGGTATTTACAATGGCTTGGAGTGGCACCTCTTTAAAAATGAATAGAGTAA